CCTTCCCATGGCAGGGAAGTTGGAACTAGATGATCTTTAAGGTTTCTTCCAGCCCAAACCATTCTAGGATTCTATGCAATACCAGTCTTGTCTTTCCTTTCTGCTGTTGTGAGGAGGGGAAGGCATGATGATGAATTTCATACTGCTGAAAATACTTGGTTGGAATGTTCTGTAAGGTGGATCGTTTGTATTTCAGTCTCTGCAGCTTGTGAAGATCATAGGCTGTATCACAGAAATATAGGCTGAGAGGGACTCCTGGAGGTCCTCTAGTCCAACCTTCTGCTCAAAGCAGTGCTAGTTTTTAGGTTGAATAATATTGTCCATGCCCTTGGTTAAACAAGCTTTGAAAATCACCGAGGATGAAGATTCCACAGCCTCTCTTAAACAACTTCTTCCTTTTATTATGAAGAATATTTCTTTATAGCTAACTGGAGTTTCCTTTACTGCAATTTCTGTCTGTTTCCTCCTGACCTTTCATGGGGCACTTCTGGAACAGATCTAGCTCTGCAAGCCCCCTTTATGCAGCAGAAGACAACAGTTAGCTCTGCCCTTTTGCAAGTAGGAAAAAGTCCATTCCTCCACTGGACTTTTGCATTTTGAATATATTTCTTGTGTTGTTTGTGGGACCCAAAACTTGGTATTCCAGATGTATACTCGTGATGCCGAGTAGAAAGAAAGAACCACTTCCTTTGCCTGCGGGCTATGCTATTGCTAATCCAGCTGGGTACGTTGTTTGTCTGCATTGCTGCAAGAACATACTGCTGACTCATGTTCAGCTTCTCCCTCAGATCGTTTTCTACAGAGCAGCAATACAGACAGAGAGTTCCCAGCCTATTGCAATGCATGAGCTTATTCCCTCCCACGTACACGGGTGTATTTGTCTCAGACACAAGAAAACTTCTGGTTATTCTGGCTTAAGTAGATTCACACTTAAATTGCCATATTCTTTAAGAAAGAAAAAAAAAATCAAAACTTAAACTGACGTCATTATAAACATTAATTTACTTTCTGTTGAGTATTTCACACTTATTAGAATGTACATGTACATCATAGCAAAGAGATTTTTCCACAAAAAGGTATTGATAGCAATTGATTTTGCCTACGTGGCCAAGCAATAAAAAAAGCCCTTGGAGTGTGCAACTTTGTACAGCAAACAGACTATAATTACTGGCTATTCGGCACTATTTGGATGGAAATGTACCATGGCTAAAGAATCCCATTTGATGTAAACGAGTTCTTCTAAAGAGTTGCTACAGATGTTAAAAAATTAATTCACTGTTAGCACTATTAAAAGGGCTTAATTAGTTCACTGTTGCCACAGTTATCAGGGAAAGATTATGAATATCGAGTGGATTTTTTTTAACTAAGCATACTTTCAGGTGGTTGTTGTTTTCGAATGTTGGCTGTAGCCAGGTCTGAGCATGTAAGTTCTTGGACCTGGAGTTCTTGGACCTTGTCTCCTTGCAGGGAAGGCTTCCTCCTTCCACTGCATTTCTTGGCAGAATTGTATTATGCAGCCTTCTAGATGGCATTAATAGAAAGTTGTGCTGCTAGGAATTTATATCAATGTGATTATCTGATAATTGAAGTAGGGATTAAAAAATCTTCTATATCTGGGTTTTTTATATTATTGATCTGCATCCATTTATCTCAGCAGTGAATTTATCATGACTGGACTGACATGTCCTTTGTTTTAAATTAGTACAATGGCATTTGTACTTTGAGACAAGGGCATGCTAACAGATGGAAGAAAAGAAACTAAGTTTCCTTTGAATATATGACAGTTTTTCAGCCAGCTATTTAAAAGCAGATGAGGGTTGATTTCAACCCTGGTTATAATCTTGCTGTATGATAATATCAACAAGATCACAAGACTTTCCTCTGTGTGTGTGGAGGGGGCACTGTTTTCATACAGAATATTAGTCCTGAAAGAAATAAGCATTCTATTTACACATATAGAAGAGGTTTCAAGTCATCCAGGAAATCTGTTTGAAAACTATTTACAGTATTAGTATGCAAATTATATACTACACACTAAATGGGAATCTTGAGGCAGAGCACTCTGACAGGCATCTCACTATTTGAACTATGGTAGTCCAGTTAAAAAAGCAACACAAAAAGAAAACACAGCTGGATGTAATTGTATACAAACACATACTTATTATGTTAATGAGGGCATACAAATAAAATGAAATGTTGTCCAGCAAAGGTTTTCCCACAAAGACTCTGAGTTATTATAGCATAATGTTCAAATAATGCAAACTCTTGTGTCTGTTTTAATTTTAAAATGTTTGATATTTACTCCTAAAACTTAACAGATGAAGTGTGGCAGCACCAGAGAAACAATAAATCCCATCTCATATCAAGTGTCATTTTAATAAATATTCTTCAGTTGAGAAGAAGACATGAATTGTGGCCCCGATTACATTGGGTACTTCCAGTGATATAATTTAAATCAAATTACGAGACCAGTATTGTATAGTGGTAGTGATGTATGTCTTAAACTCCTGTTGTTACCCCAAGTTGTCAGAGTAGTGGTACACCCTTTAGCTGCCTTCCCTTTTGCACTGAACGTTCCTGACACTTCCCTGCCTGTACCTGCCTGCTGCTGCTCTCCTACCAGCTTCCCTTCAGTCATATCCCTGTTTGTTGCAGGGGGGTTGGACTAGATGACCTTTGAAGGTCCCTTCCAGCCCTAACCATTCTATGATTCTATATCTTGGTCCAGTTTCTGTCCTCACAGCCTCTCTTGAGTGCCCCTGCTGAAGCATGCCACAGTAGCTCTACTTCAGCATGAGAGGTTTTAAACAGCCAGGTGTCAGTGAGAATCCACTAGATGCTGTAAAAGGTCAGCGTTGGGTTGGGTCTCTTTCCAACCAGCAATAGCTTCGCCCTTGTTTCATTCCTAAAGTATCCCAGAATTTCTTGTTGTGTCCCTCACATCAGTCTGCACAACTCTGGAGTGTAAGTTACCTGGGCAAGGTGCTAGATCTCTTCATACCAATTTACTACTGGTGGACTTGAAATTCTTGAAAATAAGAGGCTTCAGATGAGGTTTATGCTCTCTTTTTTTTTTTTTTTCCTTTTTTTTTCTGTCTCCATTTTTAGGACATGCTTTTAACAAACTATAACTGAAAACTAAACAAACAACAGTTTGTGCCTTATGTAAGTGTGCCTGCTTTTCAAATGGCTGCATTCAAGAGCTGTAGATATTGTTAAAAGCCCATGTCTTCTTCACTGCCAGCCACTGCCATAATCTCAAAGTAGATGCTTTGTTCTCTTTTTAACTTTATGTCTCAGTATACTGCCTTGTGACATTGCTTTCTGCCTTTAAATTGACCATCATACAGAGCTTTATATTATTCAACCTGTCATTGTCTTTGAGAGTTACAAGCTATTCTGGGTTTAAAAACTACCATTTTTGTTCACAAGCACAAAGTGTACCTTCCCAAATCTCGCTCAATAGGCATGTCAGATGCAGTCTTGAGAATATTATCTAAGGGCCTATTTTTATTCTTAGTGATGAGGAACTGTTTATATTGCAGATGTAATATAATCAAACACACATTAATGTATTACTTGAAAATAAAACCTTATATATTAATTTAAAAATCATACTGGATAAAAAAATCAGTCTGCTATTTAAAATATTTTCCAGAGGCAAAGTACCATTGGCCTGTTTAACAAAATGTATTTGTTTCTTGGTTCTGCCTATATAAGAAATGTTTAAAATTTTTGGCTGTGAAGATTTACAGCCACATCAAGCATTTTACATTATGATTAGAAGACAAAGCCTGTATCGTTAGTGTGATAACAAGTCCAGCTTGGTTGTCTGGCAAGTAAATTCTACAACCAGCTACTCCCATTAGAAAAAACTAATCTACATTCACTAAAAATCTGTTCCTGCTAGAGAGCAGATTTTGTACTTCCCACTCTCAATGGCAAATGTAATCTCTCAAAAATCAATAGGTAAAACTCACCTGAGAGCATAACACTTTTATTATTAGTTGTTTCCAGCAACAGGTAAAGAACAGATTTCTGCACAAAATTTGTACTTAGAGGGTAGTGTCAAGGGAAGATAAACTAGCAGAAACTAGAGGACTTGTGTCCTTTAGGATGTTACAGAGTTGTGAGAATGAATCTTTGAAGGCCAAATCAGATGTGTTGAGAGTCATCCTGTTTAGACTGCTAGTCTTCTGGTTAGGCTGCTAAAGCTTGGTTTGTTTTTTTTTCCATTTCTTTTCTAAAGAAACAAATCTCATTTTGGTACTTTTTTTTCGTATTTCTTTAAAAAAGGTCATCTTTAAAAAAAGTGACCCAAAGCCATATGCTCCTGAAGGGAGCCTGGGATTCCCAGCTGAGGTGATTTCTATTCAAAATTCTATTCAAAATTCTATTTATTTTGTCTCATTAGGTCAACCATGCTTCTTAGAGGGGTAGGTAGAATGCATATTGTACGGCTTCCTTGGCAAAACCAAAGCAAAAACATGCGATTTGTTTCTGTTATCTTGAGAATTTATTTTTTTTCAAATTCACGACGTCATGAGCTCTAAGCATGTGGTCTTTGGTGTCTCACTCCAAAATTCCCAATACTGGCAATAGCAATTTCATTTGAATTAGTACCTGTCTGTGCTGCAAGTGTGTCTTATAATATGCTTGTGGATATTTTCTCCTCCTCCGTACATTGCTTTCAGTACTTTCAGCTTGAAGATATACAGTAAAACTTGTCCTAAAAACCATCATAGAGTCCAGCAAACAAGGCTGAACAGCAAAAGAATCTCTCTTACAATAAGCCACACAAAATGATACTTGAGATGCTTCCTTACACTCCATGTAATTTAGGTTTTAGGGACTATTGCAGAAGGACATCAGGTTATTATATGCCTCTAGTTATTTATTTTCTTAGCCTTAGAAAGTAGAGAGGAGTATCTCAATGAAAATAGTATGGAGTTCCTTCGCAGATTTTATCCTTGTGCTTTCCTTTCTTTTTCTTTTAACAGCCTGGATGTGTAAACACTACTGAAGTGGATATAAAAAAGTCTTCAAGAATGAGAAATCCTCATAAAACAAGAAAGGTAAGTACTATTATTATATCAAAAGCAGGACGTGGAGGTAATTTATAGCATGAAGTTCCATAATTTCTTAAAACATTTTTTTTCTTACAGCTGCAGTTAACAAATACATTAATGTATATAATTATTTCATAAGCTCTTAAATGAATTAGCATTAACAAATTTGCTAATACTAAGTAAATGTTATCACATAAGAAAGTCTTTGGAGAAATACATAGAGAATATGAATATAAAATTCATTTTTGCATGCTTATTAATGTTGCTTAGTAGATTGAATAAAGCATGTTAAAATGTTTCTTTCAGTAATTAAGGAAAAATAAATTAAAAATGCAGTGTAAACTATAACAGCAGTACTTCTTGTGCTGATCTTAATGAAAAGGATGTCTCTAGTTTACAATTATGCCCTAAATGGACGACCAGAAATTGTGAAGGAAATTAGCTTCATCTAGATTATGATCTAGACATGAACAGTGTAAATTCTCTAGGTATGTAATAGATGGATTGGAAAAACAATTTATTTCAAATCTTTTGTATCATAATAACGTAGATTGACTCCAACTTTAAAGTACTCCCTTAAAGATATATTCTCATGTCATACCATGGAAAAATATGTTTTAAAAAGGAAAGTGGATTTAGAGAAAGTTTTAGCTTTATTTGTGGTAGCAAAAAGTCCAGATTAAGGTAATTTACGAAGCAGTAATTGCAAATTTGGGAGCAATCCAAATAATCCATTGTGATAGACTACCTTTCAGGATACTGTTTCTTCTTTTCCTACTGGACATCTCCACTTCCTGTAATAGCTGCCTTTCAGTGTCATCCCCCATGTTTACTATGCTGTTAATATAGAGACATGATAAAAGTAGATCCTGTGTTCTATGACATTATGAAATTACAGAGTTTTGGGAGTCGTTATTTTACATCATGGTATAGAAGCACAATTTTATCTGCATGCATGGCTTATTTGCAGTTTCTTTAGAAAAAAGATGATCTTGGCTAACTTCTTGAGCACACTGTACTAAAACGTTGCAGTTACTATGGATATGTGTAGAAAGCATTGTCTGAAAGCAACTATCCTATCATTGTTCCATATTTTTTGCGTAGTCTGTCTATGGATTACAAAACGACATTCGAAGTCACAGCCCTACTCACACACCAGCACCGGAGACTAAGCCACCCACAGAAGATGAACTACACCAAGAGGTTTGGAAAACAACTACAAACATGTACTTTTAAATGAACTTTTTAGGAAAATAGGTATTAAACCAAAAATTATCATAACTGGGAAGATGTTCAGAATAGATCTACCAAATGTTAAGTAAACCTTTTCCTTGTTTCAGGATATATGGATTTTGAAATGTAGCTTCTATTGAAACTAATGAGACAAAACCAGACATTTTTTGTATCTTGCATTAAAGAGTTAAAGGCAGTTAGCAGCAGGCCAGTTAGTGGGTTCTTTACATAGCTAATCCCGTTAACCCCTTTAGACAGCTCGCTCGTCCTTTCAACACTGATTTGAGGTTTGGGGGTATACTTACCTCTCTGTATATGCACGTATGGGCTCATACATTTATCTACTGTTCAGGCATCATTAATCTTTCCTGAGGTATCAGAATTGGGAGAAGATAAATGTCTGAAGAATTAGTAGTTCTCTTCAAAAATCTAAAAAGGCTAATTGGATTTCTGTTGATGAACCTTTAGGGAAAATGTTGTATTGGGTCCTTTTTTTTGTCCCTGTATGAGCTTTTCTCTTTAATGGAAAATTCCATTTATTTTTGAACTACACTGATGAAATGTTGTTTTAACTCAGATATATTTCTCTTCTGTGCCCCAGGATAAATTAAGGTTAAATTACAGCCCTAATAAAAAAGCTATGAATATAGAGTCAAGCAATGAATTACTCATAACACTCTTTGCCTTCCTTTCTTGCAGATTAAGCACTGGCAAATGCAATTAGACAGACATAGATTAAAAATGTCAAAAGTTGCAGAGAGGTAAGTATATTGTCACATCTTCTGGTTTTTCAATTAGACTGATAACTATTGGGAAAATGTCAGTTTGAAGTAGCTTCAAAGACAGACAGACAAGGGAGCTCAGGTGCCATAGAAATAACTGATGAGAGTTTACTTTAAGTGGGAGGTATGAAGTTCTTTTATTGATAAAAGATGCCCCAGATATTCCATGATACATTTCTGATAAACCCAAGAGTCACTGAAAGAGCCTTTGACCAAGTGGTCACAAGTTTCGCCTTGCATTGGCAGGGAGGCTAAGTGGAAATCGGTGTGGGGTTACTGGTTTGATATTTCAAAAGGGCAATCACTGACAAAGCAAGGAAAGTGATCGGCAGAGCTGACTGTACGAGGAGCTCGGTGCTTGAACAAAGTGAGTCTGAGCTTACTTCAGGTCAGAGGACGTATCGCCAGGAGGAATCTTTCTCCAAATAAGACAAAAATTTGTCAGGAAGGGGATAGAAAGCAAATAAAACAAAAAGGCCCTCAGAAAGATTAACTACAGTTTAGGTAGACAAGAGGTAGAGAAAAGTAATACAATATCTTACACATCGAGTACATAGATGGTGAAAAGTGCAGAAAATTGAGCCACATAAGGTTCTTCATCCTCTCATACACGTTTGTGAATGTGTGCCTGCTTATATAAGTGTTTATATACATACACACACACACACATATAAATATATATTTATAAAGAGAACGGGTTAAGAATTTGGGTTTGTTGAATGGTAAAAATGGAATACAGACTAAATATAATATAAATAGGAATGAAAAGAAAGAATATTTGTCCTCACTTATCAATCATTTTTCAATAATTATCACGCAAAAGGAAATGTGGAAGGTGGGAATAAGAGTATGTAAGATATACATTACCAGAATACAAGCAAAGCTTTTAGTGTGTTCACTCAAATCATGAATACTGAAGAATTTTGAAAAAAAAAAGGGTGGGGTTTTTTTTTTTGAAAGTTATAAACTTGGCAGTAGTGCCATTTGATTAGGAAATAATAAAAATACTAGCTGTATTTAAAAAAAGGGAAAGGAGTCCCAGCAGCTGCAGGGCGAATAAATATGACCTGAATAGCAGGCAGTGTTTTAGAAGATTTTAAAGGGACTGATAATTAAAACTGTAGGGATATAAAACATGTTCCTTTATGAAAGCAAATGTGCATGAAAGAGGTTGCTTGATTGAATATATTAGTGCCTAAAGAAGCCCTAAAAGGAGTTATGTGGAAGTATCGGGGAAGTTTGTAGTTTATTTTATTTCAGCTCTTGATAAGACCTGAGCCACCCCTCCTTCTTCAGGGGTCCACTTTCAAAAGACTTGAGCAAACCTATTTTACCCTGAACTGGTAGCTGACTTCTGAGTGTGTGCACACCTGGTTACCATGGTTCAGTTGATGTGAGGTGACTTGTTAACTGGGATAACCTGGTCAGGTTTCCTCACCTCTTGACATGGCAATGTTTGATTCTTTTGTTTTCCTAGTCTATTAGCTTATACAGAGCAGTATTTGGAATATGATCCTTTTCTTGTGCCCCCTGATCCTTCAAACCCTTGGATATCAGATGACACCACTTTCTGGGAACTGGAGGCAAGGTATATAATTTTATTTCTTCTTTTATGGTAAGGAGGTATAACAGGCTTTTCTTGAAATGGGAAGATTTCAGAGATAGGTATCGCAGGAAAATACTGAGGCGGAAGAGCAATACAGTATCCTTTTGGTCTTTCTAGCTTTACAGTTTTGTAAGATGGGAAGAGCTATGGACTAATAAATCTGTGTAAAAAATTTTTTACACCTTTTAAAATCTGATAGCATTTTGTAGTTGGAAGCCCTTATTCTTCTGTGTAACTGCATGCATATTACCTTAATCCTGTGTAAGTACGAACAGCCTGGTTGCTCATCTCTGAACATTGCACAGATATGAGCAATCTGGAAGGTGAGAAATCTGTGGTTGAACTTCAGGATTTAGTCTAAATTGTGAACACAGTATTAGAATACTGAAGTATTGCTGATTGTAAGTTCTGTTTGTTTTCCTTCTGTAGCAAAGAGCCGGGGCAACAGAGGGTGAAACGATGGGGATTTGGCATGGATGAAGCTTTGAAAGACCCTGTGGGAAGAGAGCAGTTTCTCAAATTCCTGGAGTCAGAATTCAGTTCAGAAAATTTAAGGTAAATGAGAGGGACTTTTTTTAATAGCTTGTAAGATAAATTAGGGTATTGGGGTTTTTTTTTTGTCTCATACCTTTCTTTTCATATTTTGACCTCTTCAAAAATTTTTGTGTTTTGCCTTTCAGAATCCATTCATGCAGATTGCTGCCTGCTTCCATATTCAGGCTGAGCGAAAATATTGATACAGTTAGCAGAGACTCATATGAAGCATATTTTCCCATTCTTGTCCAACTTTTGGTTAAACTACCCATATAAAAGCTTTTCTCTCAGCTCATTTTATTAAAAAGGTTTAAAACATTGACCCATTCAAAGCCTATTCAGTAGTTTTTATTAAGTCCAATATTATGAGAGCAGTAAAATAAAAAAGAGAATTTGTTAAAAAAATAAATAAGGGATTTAAAAGTAAAATTCACAGACTTTCACTGTTAGTCGGGTGTCTGGGGAACATTTATCTTATGAAAAGTCCACTAAGATTCTAGTACTCATGGATCTGACACAACAGTAGTAGTGTGACCGCTAGCTCTAAAATTCCTCACTAATTGCAAAATGGAAAAGTGCAGCTAGTATATGAAGCTTAAATATTTTTTTTTAAAGTATATATACAGAATTAGCTTTAAGTGATGGAGAACAACTGTTTGATTTTAAAAAATAATAGTCTATCCATTGGCTAATAGTATGTTTTGTTGTCACTGTTATAAGGAAGTCATATCTTGGCAAGAATTATTTCAGAGAGATTAGTAACTGCATTTCTATGGATAAGTCAAACTATACATAGTATAAAAGCATGTACAACATATTTTTCTCTTTGTTTCACCTTCTTGTCAGACGTCATCTGTATCACATCCCATTCCCCAACCGCATAAGGAGTATAAAATTCTATTACACACATTCTAGAACTCAGAAAAATCCTAAACTGCTTTTTTCTATGTCAGTTCTCACTCCAAAGAGATGCAGCATAGCTATTCATACTAGAGTTACATTTCTGCAGCAACCTACATGAGGCATTTAGCACTTTCTGCTGTTGATTCATACATGCTGAGTAATTGCACAGGCCTCGTTTACGTCTGTCAGCAGAATAATTGGAGATGGACTTCCGTAAGTTGCTGACCATGTTCATATTAAAACATTGAATTTTGCATCACAAATATCTATTAGAAACTCTAGACCTTATCGTATTTTCCAACAGATTTGTTTGCCATTACCTCCATGGGAATATGGCCTGACGCCTGACCTGTATGTGTATGCTAATAACTTCATTAGTGCAAGATACAGGGGAGAGGTTTATTAAAAAATCCAAGTGATAAAATGAAAATTTTAAAATCAGAATAATACCAAGAAAATGAAAGGTAATTTTTTCATGTAAAGAGCATCCTGGTAATTCCTTATGCAGAGCAGCTGTTCAAACATGAACCTATTCAGCCCAGTGTGGGTGCTGAATTTTCTGTGCTTTTCTATGATTAATTTGTCTCCCTGCCAACTAAACTGTTATCCCTAGCTCTTTCTTCTAATCCTATTTACAACACTATCCACAGGCAAACTGCAAGTGACTGATCCAGAAAAATTCCCTAGAGAAATTTGTTCAGAGATGATTCCTTGACATGCCATCTACTCTTCTGTCTCTCTCTCTCTCTCTCTCTCTAGATTCTTATATTGGCATTAGAAAATTTAATATCTGAGCAACGATGACTATGAGCTTAAAGGCTGTACTTGGGAAGGATCAGGCAGGGGATCAAACTTGCACTGAAAAGGTGCTTTCTGTGATGATTTACTGAAGGAAAACTGTCTCACAAGTTCAGAATTATGTTTATGAATTCTAAACCTGTGGAGAAATCAATCCACCATTAGGCTCACACAGTAAAGTCAGGTTAGAAGGCATAAATTTGTGAAGCTTATTGTTTATAGGAGTTAAAATGTTATAGATCTCAGTAACAGAAATGAAAAGCTTGATGGTTTCAAGCATTACTGTTGAATGAACCTTAAATTTAAAAGACTACCAACTTCCTTGCTCACCTGTTGATGCTACTGTGGCAATTTGGTGGGGTTTGTTTTGGTTTGGGGTTTTTTTTGAGAAAAACATTTATTTCCATCCACATCTTACCCACTGCAACAAAGTGAACTCAAGTCAGTAGCTGGCTCTTGTCCTTTTGCGGTTCTAATTATGATAAAATTTACAACAAGCACCATCAAACCTGTAGTGGGATAGACAGCTGGGACCCAAGCTATCAAATGCAATACCCAGGATACAGCAGGGAACTGCAGACACTACAGAGAAATTCAATATTGATTGATTAGAAGTCTTATACCTCACTCTGGTGAAAGAATGCCTAAACTCTGAAATGATAAGTCTACCAGATACACCATTTCTATTCAAGTGTGATTATCTTATGTAGCTAAAAGTCCCGGTGTTACTGTTTTGTTAGCTTGGACTGAGAGTGTCTAAACTGGCTGAGAATCTCGTGCTTAGTGGTAGTACATTCTGTCTTAAGAAACAGGACAGAGATGTAGAAACTTGAGCCATGAGTTAAAACTAAGAACTGCACGATGACTAGGAATGCAACCAGGTTTCACCTTCTTGCTCTGTATCTCTCTGCTTTTTCTCTTTGCCTGTGAATTGGGATTAATAGCATGTCACTCTTTAAAGGAGTGTTGTAAAGCATAGCAAAGGAATAAAACTGTCTAAGCAGTTCTGTCTGTGCAGTAGCTTTGTTACAGTTTGCTAACACCCGGGTTGGATTCTGCATTCACCTGACACAGGCTATGACTTATAATCTTGTTACCATGCAGATTTTTGGAGGGATCGCTTTGCATGCTGCTCACAACTCAGAACAAAGAGCTAAAGTAACATATGATTTGGATAATAGACTTATAAAATTCCTACTGCCTATTACAAAAATAGTGACCATTGTTTAAAATTCGTAAGACGTTAAGTTTGAGCGTGATTTACTATTATTGAGCTTGGTCACAAGGCTGTCCAAGCACTGAAAAAGGACTTTTTAAAGAGAGTAAGATGGTGAAATGAATCTTACTGCAATGTGGCACCTGGAGACCTAATTTGTTTCATCTCTGTAGAAAATCCCCATTCCTTTCCATATCCTTCATCTGTAGTGCTGCAGAATTCTTTGGGAAGTTAATATTCATATACTGACTGTACATTTGCTCCCAAGTGGTTGTTTTGTAGGAATTGCAGCCTGTAAAGATCTCAGTGGTTTCAGTGCTTAGTTTTATGTTTAGCTTACATCAGTGGTTCTTTGAATTCTTCAGTGATTATTCTTTGAATAACACCATAACAGTGCTTTTACTAGAGAAAAGGGAAAATGGTGCAAGCGGTTACGTTTTCTTTTTAACCCAGCCTGTTTCACTTTCACTTTCTTGCTTTTTATTACTGATCACCACTCTTGATGACTTTAAATGCAAGACATTTCTGTCTTCACTGATGGTGGAGGAGAGAGTTCTGCATGTTACAAAGTATGAAGATTGATTAAATGTCCTGGATTTTGTCCTGCAAGTCTGAACAGAAGTGTTGGTAATGACACTTTCCCACACAGTATGAGCACTGGTAACATTTATCCTTCACACTATTGATTGAGACCCTGTTTTGGATGCTAATAACTTGACAAAAAGTTAAACCTGAAGGCTGAGATTGCCTGTGCTTTATTTCTCATTCAGACTCAAGTTTAACTTAATTCCAAGTGTCTAAACCTCACACGTTTTGTGGCGAATCACTGCCGCCTTGTGTTCCCATGTGCTAAATTTAACTGATTAGCTTGATCTGGGATCTGCTGATGGCTGCATCTGACATTTAGGTTAGTTAACAGGACAGAAGCTGTGTTGCAGCTGTGCTATTTATCTGACTGCCCTCACTTTGAAAGTAATCCAGCTGGAGGACATAATCCCCAGCTATCTTGCAACGTGTGTCTTACTGTGTGGCTGGATGTACGACTATCATATGCTATACATTCTCACGCAGCTATACATCTGGTATGTGACCCAGCTAGGACAGAAGACAGCAGCAAAGCTTACACCCAGCTACTCAAGTCTCTGTTCAAACAGTATTGAGCATCTTCTAGAGAGGCTCTCCATGGCAAAAGCAGACCACCTCTCCAACAGGAGACAGAGTTTCATCCAAGGGCAGAGAGACTGAGCTCTAGTTTCTTCCATGAAGTAGCACTAAGTCTGTGTATATCATTGTCCAGAAAACTCAGGTGGCTTTCCCCTCTCCCCATTCCTGCCCTTGCACATGCTTACTGTTGCACACTGCGTGCCGTTTGCTACAGGAACCTTCCCCTGCTCTGGTCACAGCTTGTGAGGCAGAGAGCCGTAAAAGGGACGGGAAGTTCTCTTAATTTGAGGCCCTGTGCTGAGGTCTTGCAGACTCCATTTCAACTTCATCTGTGCTATTGGTTGCCATGGGATATTCAGAAAAGTTATTTTTGCAAATGCGAGAGGTGGCAGCCTTATTTTTGGCATTTTCTAACTTTGCATATTTGACTTTAACTCTCTGAGGGAGAAGGGCAGGTATTTTTTTCTTGAAAGATCTGTGAAGTAGATTAAAATGTTAAAATGTGTGTTGACTGTGAAGTAAGCACCCTAGACATAACATATCACAGAAATCAGCATTTTCTTCTCACTTTTACAGAGGTTTCTATATTTAGAACCTCACATTTTAAATAGTTTTTTTGAATGGTAATGTTAGAAGGATAAAATAAAATTAATCTATCAAAAAGATAGTGTTCAGCCTGTAAGGATGTGTCTATACAACCTGCCTATTCTATGCTGGAAGCTGAACATTTCCTCAAATAAGTTAAATTTATCTCCCATCTATTTTCCCTGTAATTGAGTATAACCTACTTTATGGAAACAGTTTACTTGCAAAGGAAAATAGCATCCTAAGGCATGTTTGTGGTGACTTCCAGAAGTATTGGCAGTGATATAATGGAACAAACAAGAATGTGACAGCTTTGAGCTAGATCCTCAGGATGTCTGCAGGGTGATAGAAAATATGTGTTTACAAAGAACATTCTTCCCTTTCATTTTTCTGTTCCTTACCTGACTTCGATACACATGAGTAATCAGTCAGTCCCAGAAGACGCATTTGAAGGGGTTAGCACTGCAGGATATACACTTTTAAATGCAAATATCAAAAGCAGCTTATGGGAACCGAAGTAGGTTGCCCAAATTTGACAGAGAGAGCGGAATTAAAGTTTGTGAGCTGTGCAATTTTTAAACTTGAGTTATGAGGCCTCTGTTCTTACTGCATTGCCATCAGATTCTCAGGATAAGTCCTCAGGCTCTGTGCAGATCTATGTTCAATTCTCACTGCAGTTCACAGAGATAAATGATGCTACCTAGAATTTTTGAAACTGAAGTTCTTCTGTTGGCACAGACTCCCTTTGTGACCTTGGGGAAACCACTGTACATTATTACATTATTAATATATTTGCAAAACTGGGGCAATATTACTTCTCTGTCTCTTGGAGAATCTTAAGGGATCAATAGGCAGAAAGATTGTGCTTAGATACTTCAGAAATTGAAGGCTGTAAAAATGCCTAAAATAGTCATCTCAGTAGAGTGAAGCTGACCATAATGGCTTGTGAGTGATAAGCACGGGGTCCTTCCATGTCTTCTACAAAGTAGTTTCAAAACAAGACTATGAAGGACTAGTTGCTTCCTGGAAGGTAAATCATCTCAAGTGAAGAATGTCTTACAGGAGGAATACCATAGGGTTTTCTTTGCTATGCTTTACTATCCTCTCTGAAGAGTCGTTGCAGTAACTGTGTTGGAATTTGGGTTGAGGGTAGTATCATTTTACTCTCTTGCAGGGTCTGAGTACAGTTCCACTATTCCTCTCCCCTATCCCATCCCTGTTTAACTAAGCTAAGAGAGCTCGGTTTCATCTCACAGTGTAAGCAGGGTGGAAGGTTCTCACACTTTAAAGGTTTCCACAAATTATTTGTCAGCCTTGTAAAATCCAACTTATTTCAAAGTTGACTCACTTGAAGGTTCAGCTTATCTGTTTCATAGGATCAGGTGTGTCAAAACAATAATGAAAAGTTGTGATAGTATACATTGCATATTCAACAAAGTCAAACTTTAATTGATCTCTCAGGGGGAGGAGCACTAAGTGGTCTGCACCATGTCTATGCATGGGTTCCTTGTTGAATTTAGAATTATTTTGTGCAGTGAGAGAGTCTGAACACTCATAGAGGAAATAATCATAAAGCAATCATTATTGTGAATAGCAAAGCTTAGAGCTAGCTAGCTAGCTGTGATCACAAAGTGCTCATGACTTTTTTAGTGATCCCGCTCCCGAATGAGTGAGAAGGATACAATGAACTGGCCTGTACTGTACGTGGCTGCCCAATATTGGTTTGCTCAGCAGCAAAAAAGAAGAGAGAATGGGTACTTCTATTCAGCATTTCAGTAAAAATATGCATAGAAATGCAATGCTGAAGAAATAAATTAAATTATAGTGGGCAAAACAAATGCTTTTCCAGTTTATACATTATTTGTGGAGTAATAGTAACAAAATTAGTTACCCAGTTTAGCAGGCCTCAGAGAGATTCAAGTAGGTAGCAAGAACATAACCTCTTATCAGCTTTTGAGGAAAGGTCAAAAAGCAATAGGTTCATAAGAGATATAAGCCTTGTGGTTCAGGTGAAATGAAATCTTGCATTAATACCAGTTAAACGGAAACCTTCCCTCCCATAAGCGAGTTACCCATACATAAGTAACAAAGGGTTTCCCAGCTGTCTCATGAAGAGGCTTGTAATAATTGCTTCTTAAGGTGGATTGATTGCCTGAGACAGTAAATCACAGCAGCAAAGCTTACACCCAGCTACTCAAGTCTCAATAAATCACAGGTTTTTCTTATTTTAGCATGGTTTAGATTAAACCTTCAGTTTCTTTATTATTTTTTTAAGAGCAAAGAAGAGTCTGAGCACTTCACTAATGATTATACTGAATTGGAAGTTAAAATGCTATATTGTACCATAGGTTCTGGTTAGCAGTAGAAGACCTGAAGAAGAGGCCTATCCGTGAAGTTCCTGCTCGCGTCCAAGAAATCTGGCAAGAATTTCTCGCTCCAGGTGCACCCAGCGCTATCAATCTAGATTCAAAAAGTTATGACAAAACCACGCAGAATGTAAAGGACCCTGGAAGATACACGTTTGAAGATGCTCAGGTCAGTTTGCAATCCTGTTTAGGAACATTTAAAATAGAATATTGGCTATTGAAATCTTTATACATAAAATAAGATATATTTGGGAATTAACTGGTAGTGCTCTGTTTCCTAAAATGCCGTTTTGGAAATGTAAATGGATAACGTTCTTTCCTGAGGCCTAGGAGTTACTAAAGCTCTTCATGAAGATTCTGTGCCTGGTATAAAGTCTTCAAGTGGTCTTCAAATAGAGTGAAGCATATAAAGCAATGAAAATTATATTTTTATGTTCCTCTTTTCTTAATTTTCTTCAGTTACATTAAGAGAAAAACTTCCCCCCCACGCACATTGATTTCTAGTTCTCAAGATCTATCTCTGAAAGAATTCCCTTGATACAGACTCAATGTCTGTTCTCTCAATGTATGTCCAAAAGTGCTATTATCTCTTATAGCAGTCACAGATTCCCATCATGGAAAGAACATGCCCCATGTAAGAAATATAATTTTTTAACAGCTTGTGTAGAAATATCTTATTTCAAGGATGTTGTATATTCTATACCTTATTAAACTACCATCTACTGAACACTGGGCAAAGATGCTAAGATCTGGTCTTCAATAATTAGTATTACAGCAGTAAAGAACAGTCTGTAAATATCTTATTTGGCTTTGGGGGATCTGACTTAGTCACAGTTTGAATATCACCATCAAAAGATACTTTTGACAAGAGCTAGAGTCATGAAAATGCTTGTACGTTTGAGATTGAAAGTAAAAGTTAAAAAAAAAATCAAAAATGATAAAATACAAATCTTGATTTTCCTCGGAAGAAAAAGCAAGTACTTCTGTATTAAATGCAACACTTCATGTGACTTATAACTTAATATTTCATCTTCACAGACTTCTGAGAAAAGCAATAGAAAATAATTGGATTCACAGTAGAAGTAGTAGAACCGGTACCATCCTCTCTTTTTCATCAGCAGCCCAGTGATGAAAATTTAATTATTAATGCAAAGTGAAATGGTGTCAAAAGGAGAAATTGAGATCATATCCCTGCAGAATTTCCTACAGCTTGATTATTAGGTCATCATCTTGGGAGTCAGGAGATGCTGCTGCAAGTCCCACAAAGGAGACAGGGGAGTTTAATTTCTACTTTTTGGGAAAGTGCCTCTAACCTAAATAGGTGGGGGAATAATTCTACCTGCTTTTCATTTTGCTATTATGAGAATAGCAACCTATGATGCAACGTTAAAGTTTTCATTAGACACTATATCATACCAACTGTTTTGAAGTACTCTACATTAAGCCAAACACACAGTTTTTGCTTGCATTTGCAGACTCCCTGGCGATTTAGGAGTGCAGCGTACAGCAAAGATAGAAGTTGCACAAATAAACAATCTAGCAAGATTAAAGGTTTAAAAAAAATTCTTTCAGTTGAGTCAGTGAAGGACAATCGAATTCCTTGCCAATATGCAATTTATTTTTCTTTTAAATTAGAGTAAAACTTTAACACCATTTTACTTCCAGATCTCTTTTATCTTTCTATTTTTTTACTTTGATTTATGAAAGATGTGGGATATTCAGACTTTATGCAAGCAAGACTGTGCCTCCTGTCAGACCTCTGCTTATCTGATCCAGTTCAGCATTCAGCTTGGCCCTGGAAGCCTCAGTTTCTCTAGGAAAAGAGGGCAGACTGCACCTGCTATGTTCTCATTGAAGCTTTTGGACCTCTACAGAGTGCCCCACCTGAAGTGTCAGGGTTTTGTCAGGAGTAGGACTTGGACTCTGCCTCTGCAACAGGCTCTTTGTGTCCCGCCAGTTGGGAAAGAGATCACTTATAAGTCATTCTGGCAGTCAGCAGGTCATTTAATTGTGGTTAAAATGTTTTGAAAAGCATTTTGGGACTTGAAAGATGGCACCACGGAACTCCATGTCAAATGAGAGTGATACATAAGTAAAAATAGGTTGATTGTGCTAAATAACATCCAGCCTCAATTCCTGACTAATATGTAAATTAGCAATACTAATACAGCCTAATTTAGTCTTGCTTTTACAGGGTTGTTTTTTGCACAGAAATAACATTTTAATGCCCATCACTCTTGATATGTACGACAGGAGCAGAGTCCTTTCTGCTCTCTGTTGGCTGCATTGGCTGCTTTCTTAGAAGTTGAGTGAAATAAAAACTCCCCAAATGAACCAGCCCAAGTTCTGAATAACAGCCGAATTTCTCTGCTTAGTGCAAGAAATACAGTGAAAGGCACTTAGAATAATTTCTGGAGTTTCAAGTACAGCAAAAATTAAAAATCAGCTTTAATTTTACCCTTCTGTAATTTTTGAGCAAGGTGGTTTGTTGTTTTTTTTCTATTCACTAATTTTAGGCAGCACCAAGCTGAGAAACAGAGTTTACTTTACAGTTTATTTGTTGTTTCTCGATTGCTGTGCTACAAGTTTCCTGTAGTAAAAGGTAGAGTTTGAGTAAAAAATAAAACAAAAACAGCTAACACAATTCAGTGGATTTCTAAAAAATATTTTTGAGAGTATTTCTTATTCTGATTGCTTTTTTTCACAAATCTCTTTCCTAACATTATAATTAGAACTAGAATTGTAAAGTGTACTACCTCGTAGATTTTTAGGTTTTCGTATTTTACAGAAATGAGAATGCTCCAAAAAGAAAAGCTCTCTAAACCGTCTGTGTCATTTGTTTTCTGGCTAAGGGTTTCCAAATTTTCATATGCCCCTGGAGAATAAATATCTTGGAAATTAGATTAGCCTGGAACTAGTTTTCAATTTGCGTATGTATTTTCCTTTTTATATTGTCAGCTGGATAGTAGAATAAGCATCTGTCAAAGGATATTTTCAAGAGTAGCCAGGGGATATCCTCCCTAACTTACGCACTTATTTGTAGTGCTGAATTAGAAACCTAGTACCTTTTCCCAGCCTGTGAAGTCAGAAAAGCATCTTCAGAAAATATGATTTAGTCACTTAGCTAAACTGACTAATGTAAGAGAGGTTTGAAACTTGGCCTTAAGTTAGGACTCAGTTATAAATTCTTAGAAAAATAATTCAGTAGTGGGAATAGGGACTATAAATTAAAGAAAGGTGTGTTGTGTTCTTTATACATAATAAATAGGGAGAGCAATTCAGCCTTCAGAACTGCAACCTGCCATCGCATAAGTCTTCCTATTCAAAATAATGCTAACTGGTATACATCGCTCAACTAAAACATATATGGCTGCCTCCTGTTTTACTCACGTCTTCTTTTAAGGGAATAACAGCTACTTCTTTCCCTTTCAGGAGCACATTTACAAATTGATGAAAAGTGATTCTTATCCTCGTTTTATACGATCCAGTGCCTACCAGGAGCTGCTACAGGCCAAGAAAAAGGTATTGGTCCATCTTGCCTTTGTCTTGCCACTGTGCAAAGCGGTGGTTATGTTTGCAACAATACTCAGTCTTCTCTCCCCTGTGCCAGTGCAACTGGATATCTGGTAGGTGACCAGCTTGGCGTGTTTGGAGGGTCACATACACACAGGAGTTCAATATACATTTATGTGTATATATCCTGCATGCGGGCATGTTTCAATAAGTTAATCTAGCAAAACTTATTTTTATTTTTACATCCCATATTGTACTGTTTTCTCTGTTATGAAGCACCTTAAATTGCAAAGTGCTTTACAACTACATTAAAAAAATAAAATAAAATCCCAGAAGAATAGTCTTTCATGTTTGCAAGTTTGCTTATGTAATAATTGTTGTTCTCTTTATTCCACCTATAAAAGCTACAGAATGTGTTTAGAAACTTCTAATCTCAACTATAAA